TTGGCGTTGCCTGCAAACTGACTGAGCTTTGCTGCTGTAAAGATAAACAATGCTGTTTCCTGGTGTTCAGGACAGCCTGGTGTTACTAGAGGTGGTTTTGTAGGACAAGCTATGGCAGTTTGTCAGGCATTAAATTGATTTCTTGTCTGTCACATTTATGGGGCTGCTGGACAACTGTAACAGACATCTCAGTGCCTTCAACGCCTGCCTTTGAGGGATGGAAAGGAAAGGCATACATACTCGCTCAGCAGCATCTGTCTGAATATCTTTAGAGCCTCTGGGGGCAGTAGGTCAGAGAATAAATTAATGATGAGTGACAGGGGTTTTTTTCTCAGACTTGGCCATGGAAGTTAAATGTTTATGTTGTCCCCTTAAACAGGCTTTACTTTCATATTTGTTGCCTTTATAGTTCCACTGTGAAGAGGGGTGAGAACCTTTCCCCTTGGGTTGTCCACCTGAGAAAAGGAGATAAAATGTTTTAGTTACTGTTCCCATTGATTACCGATGCTTAACTATGATGAAGTTCTGTGTAGTTTTGAAATTAATCAATAGTAGATTGATTTCTAGAGTGATTTATGAACAGTGGCCTCCTTGCTTAACCACATTCAAGAAACACTTTCCTGAGTGATCTTGGAAATCATCTAATGCTGAATTGTCTTGTTTTCAGGTTGACTTCCTTTTCTTTTCTTTGTTGTCTATGGAATCTACACAGCTTCCCTTCTCATTTTCTCCTCTGACATGAAATTGGAATGCATCATGGTAGAATGTCTTGTGGTGTTTCTGTACCACAGAAGCAGGCTGGGATGAAGAGGGAATACTGTATTTAGTTTTGTAACACTCTTAAGCAGTTCTTGCTTCTGAGAAGTTGGCCACAGCAGCATCACTGAGGCAGTCCCTAAATCTCCCCCGGACAGTTTACTCTCCCCATGCCCTCCCCACCCCCAATATGCATGGAAGAAGCAAAGTGTCTTTTCATGTACACCTCTTGCTGGTATCCTTGAGATATGTTGACTTCAGCAAATAGTGCACCGCAAAAGCATGGGTATATAGAGAGAAATGTGAAGAAATCTTGCTTTGGGTGATGCCTAGTGCTGTGTGACGGACTGAGCAGTCATTAGCATTTGTAACACACCTTTTAGTTTTGTTTCATCCTGAAAGACCTGCTATGCATATTAAGAGGAACTAGCCTGTGATGTAATTTGAAATCGTAGAATCATAGAATATTTTGGGTTGGAAGGGACCTTTAAAGGTCATCTATTCCAACTCCTGAAATGAGGCTATTGATGATCGTCCGCCTGTAGTCAGCACTGGTGAGGCTGAACCTTGAATACTGTGTTCAGTTTTGGGCCCCCCACTACAAGAAAGACATTGAGGTGCTGGAGCAACAAAGCTGGTGAAGGGTCTAGAGCATAAGTCTTACAAGGAGCAGCTGAGGGAACTGGGGTTGTTTAGTAGGTTGTGGTGAGGTGTGTGTTGGTCTTTTTTCCTAAGTAACAGGTTGTAAGATGAGAGGGAACAGCCTCAAGTTGTGCCCCAGGAGGTTTACATTGGATATTAGTAAAAATTTCTTCACTGAAAGGTTTATCAAGCATTGGACCAGACTGCCCAGGGAAGTAGTTGGTTCACCAACTCTGAAAGATGTTTAAAAGACCTGTAGATATGGTTTTTAGGGACATGATTTAGTGGGGGACTTGGCAGTATTAGGTTAACGGTTGGACTCTATGATCTTAAAGGTCTTTTCCAACCTAAATGATTCTATGATTCTGTGAAATGCGTAGTAAATTAGCAACATATAGTCAGACCTACAGCACTGTTGTTGCATTATGGCACTAGTGAAGACTAGTGTGAGAACTGAGAGTTGAAAATGTTGCTTTTGCTTAAGACACACAAGGCAGGCACCTTCTACAGATACATGAAGGTATCGTAGAACCTTCAGTTAGGCATCTCAGTAACACCATCCTTGAAAGGCTTTGCATATGCAGTGGGATTTAAGTAATATTTCTGATCAGTACACTCAGTGAGGATGATGTTACTGGCATTGGTAGGAATGGGACGATGAAGTCCAAAATGAAATATTTCAAGTGCAAATTGAATGGTGGGTGGGTTTTTTTTTGTTTTAGTACTCTTAGTAGAGCTGATGTTTGTATATTCTATCTTAAGATAAGTCTCTGGAAGAACCTTATTTTCATCTTTTAGGGTTCCTTACTGCAGTAGCTTTAGAGCTCTATATGTGCCCAGAGAACAATGCTGAGATACACCAGTACTTTCAGAGAACTTTCTTCATCTGAATATTCTGGCATTTGTTTTTCTGTCCTGGGTTTAGAAAGGGCATCTAGTTTCTAGTGTGTGAACAGTGATGCATGAGCAGCTTTGTGGGGGCGTTCTTACAACCCAGCTAGAGTGTAGAAAGTACTATAGGTACATGTACACATACAACATGTTAAATTTGTTTAAAATAACCTTTTCCACTATTTAGTGCTTTCTGTTACCTTGAGAACTTAAAATGATAAAGCTTTGCAGTGAAATTTGCTTAATCTCCCTTTGGAACAAACTCTGAGTATCCCTCAGCACCAGGGCATGAAATTGAGGTAGGAGTGGGTCATAAGGGGAGGACCTTACAGAACTCTCATTTTACTGATTGGCCTAAGGATTAGATGGATGTCACACAACAGAAAACACAATATCCAAACCTAATGTCTTGAGCCTCAGTGTTTAAATATGAGTACGTCCTTGCATCCTTGTAAGGTATGTGGAGGCCTTCATTCATTTAATAGTCCTCATTTAGTGTGCAATGTTACTGCTGATCTTGCTTTACAGTGAAGGCTTCTGTTCTCCCTTTCTGTCTCTGAAACTGTGTGCATTTCATGCTTGCAGAGGAGGGACTGTTGGACAGAATAGTTTGGTGGCTGCTTCTTGATAAATTTTGCCAGTTGCCTTGCTTAACTGTTTTATCAAGTAGCCATTTCTGTCTCTCTTTAAAACTATTAACCCTTTTTAACTCCAGACTTGTTCAGGTGTAGAGCAGACTTAGAGCTTTACTTCTGTTGAAATGTAAATCACTCTTTCCTTGCAGAGCAATGCAAATGTGTTCAAGGAAGTAGAATGCTTCTTGGTCTAAACAGGCCGAGATAAGTCTGTTTCATTGACTGTGTTACATAAAATTGACTGTGTTACATAAAATGCAAAACCTGATTTACTGCATGAGGCTCTGGATTATATGCAGAAATACTAGTCACTTGACAGATCTCAGGTTTCTCTTCTGGGTTGCTGAGCTTACTTCACTAAGCATAGAGCGGCCTTCACAGCAACAAAGGCACTTACTCATTTTCTGGATTTTGGGCATAGGCATTCAAGTTTAGCTGTGGCCCACAGACATCAGTTTACCAAATTGCTTGACTACAGATGGTCTCAAGCTAGCTCTATAACTGATTAACACAGAGAAAAAACATTGGAAAATTCCAGTCAGCACCAGTGGGAACGTGTGAAATCAAAATAGCAAGTATTGTCTGTGTGCAAGACAGACAGACTGACAGCATCAACAACCTGGGGCAAACCAAACACTGAAAACATGTAATGCTGTGTAGGTTATGTCTTCATACTCCGAAGGAGGAATTGTTGCAGTGGGAGGAGAGAAAAGGGAAGACTTTTGTCCTGTACAAGTGATATGGAGAGGTGAGGCTTGCGAGGGTAGAGGTTTTATTCGCATTGTCAGTAATGTAATGAGCTGTTGTGCAGAAGTGTGCTGGTTAACTGAAATTAAAATGTGAGATTGCTATAGAGTAGATTTTAAGGAAAAAGTGTAATGTTAGATTTAAAATGCCTTCTAATATGGAATACTCTGAATCTTGTAGCAGACTGCTTAAATCATAGACTGTAAGTAATTTTGATGTAATCAGTCAGTGATGAAAATAATGATTAAAATGCCTATTCCTGGTACAAAACTGCCTTTGAACTTTTCAAGAAGTCAGGCCCTTCTGAAACTGTAAAAGAAGTAGCATATCTGTTTCTAATACTTATATATGATTCCTCATTATACTTTTATTTTAGGAAAAGCCACTAGACACTCCAGACTTGGTCTGCCAAATAGCCTAATTATTCCCTTCAAGTAAGACTGGAGGATTTACTCTTTCTGTTGTGGCTTATTCAAATAAGTGTAAAGGTTTAAAAAGCCAGTTGTAACCTTAAGAGAAAGAGTAATTGCTTTATGCTCCTGGTTTCTGTGTTGGAAGTCTTCAAACACCTGTCTTTGAGTGTCTTTCATTCTTTCTTTGTTTCTCCATGGGCATGTCTCTAGCAACAGCGGACTGGCAGTGTCAAATCTCCCAGTTCCTAGGACTAACGGATCAGGAGCCCAAAACAGTTATTTGACTAGTTTTCCTGGTCATGCATCTCATCTCACTGCCTGTTCTGTTGATGGCTGATAAAGCACTAAATACGTGAGTGCTTTTAAAGTAGTCTCACACAGCCAATCCTGGCAACACATCCAACAAGTGTACAGTGACCCAGGAAGGGTTTCACAGTCACTGTAAAAGGAGCTATGAGAGACTGTTGTGATTGGGGGAAGCTGAGTTCTCTTGTACCTTTCTGTGATTTCACAGTCTCTGATTTTGCTGTAGTGGCTTGCACTGTAAGAATTACTTGGCACTTACACTTCTCTGTGACTGCAGGATGCATTCCAAAGTCTTAAGAAACCATCAGGCAGGAGGGAGTTGTGATGGTTAATTAAATATAAAGCCTTTTTCTTTCCTGACCTTGTGGCTGTTGCCATATGCTAATAGTCTTGCTTCCAGACCAACCCAAGAACAAATTTAACCATTGCCCTCTGCTAAAATATTGCTTTAAGCATGTGTACAGACTGTTTTCCTTTAGGCATGAGTTGGGGAGAACTAACAAGCTCTGAGCTAGTGGGCAGTCCCAGATATGTTCAGCTGCAAAATGGAAAAGGGATTGAAATTATTTTTTTCCACTAACTTTGCTTTTTTTTTTTCCTCCCCCCCCAGATAACTATTATCTTTAAATCATATCAAGACTGTACAGATCAGAAAGTATATCAAGCAGTGACTGATGACTTGCCTGCAGCTTTTATTGATGGTACAACAAGTGGAGGTGATGGGAACACCAAGAGCTTACGAATTGTGGAGAAAGTCAGTGGCAAATACGTCGAAATGCATGCCAAGTACATTGGGACCACAGTGTATATACGCCAGCTTGGGCACTACTTAACGTTGGCTATTCGCATGCCTCAAGAGTTGGTCATGGCCTATGAGGAGAGCCAGGATCTGCAGCTGTGTGTGAACGGCTGCCCTTCAAGTGAACGCATTGATGATAGTGGCCACTTACCATTGCCTGTGATGGGGCAGCTGCTCCCTCAGGGTGGTGCTGCTGCTCATCCCCAGTCAGTGTACACACTGGAAACTGCCACCACCAAATGCCATGAGAAAATGCTAGTGAAGGACATCTATTTTTACTCATGTGTATTTGACCTACTCACCACTGGTGATGCTAACTTCACGGCTGCTGCTCACAGTGCCTTGCAGGATATGGAAGCACTGCACCCCAGAAAAGAACACTGGCATATCTTTCCCAGCAGTGGAAGTAGTGGTGTGGGCAAGGGTAGCAAATTCTTTGTCGGTCTTGGACTCATGCGCTTGATCCTTGTTGTGTTTTTGTAGTTTTTTTTGTCTATAACAAAGTTTTGAAATATATATTGTCATAATATATTGAGTAAAGATGAGTATGTATTGTATATACCATGTATATGAAGGGATGTTTTATCTTGGGACACCCACCAGATTGTACATACTGTGTTAACTGTTTTCACGTATGTTTTATGTGTAGTATTCTTTGTATGTAATTGTTTTGCAGTTGGTGAAATATTTTATAATGTCCCTGCATTGGGACTTGATAGAAAGCACTTTATTTTTTATATATTAAATATTTATGTGTGTATCTGAGTAACTGTGTATTATACATATAAACATGTGCATACAATACATGGTGCTCCCTCTAAGTACTACTTGGTTTAACTTTTTTTTTAAAACTGGATTAATTTGTGGTTTTTTTCCTATTACTTCTCTTACTCTAGAGGCAGCATGTCTCTTGTCATGTAATGACATTGGTGATTTGCTGAGTTCACTAGTTAAAATGATTAAGAATGGAATTGTATTCTGTTCCTCAAACAAATGTCCATCTCTTCTTTGGAGGGAGAGGGTGAAGTTCTTCCCATTAGCTCAGATGACCATCTTGGATAACATGAACCTTCTTTGTAATCCTGACATTTCCTAGTTTCATGGCAGGAATTTCAAAAGAAGAAGAGGGAATACGATGGAGTGAGACTTGCATAGGTTTACAGAACCAGTGGGAAGATAATTTTAAAAGGTATTAATGGTCTAGTTGTGTAACCATGTAGTGTAACTATTGGAGTTGCCTCTAACCTGGAAGGTTTAAGTTGTTCTCTGAGATGGACTGGTGAAATCACAAGCCTAAATTCTGTGCCTTGCTTAGGTGCTAATTCTATCTATTCATTCAGAAGGAAGAGGGGAATGAGGCCACAGTCTCTGACTACTTTTACAGAGGTGCTAGGAGAATAATGATTTGTTGGCCTGTAGGTTGGTTTCACTTAGTGCCCTAATCTGCTGCAAGAAGTGGAAGCTTTAATACATGCTACAATAAATCCAGCTCCAAGGTGGGCTTATTTCACTCTTAAAACTCTTCATCTGAGACTGAACTGATACGTTAGAAGTGCTATCTGACTAAGACTCAAATAGCACTTGCCTTTGTTAAGCAAACTTGAGCTAGTGTTTGTGTTGGTAGAGGGAGATGGAGTTTATTTATGGAATGAAAGCTTTACAAAGACACGGCTAGGTTAGGCACTGTTGACTGTTAAGGACAGCTGTAGCCTTCTCAAAGAAACTAATTAATTCCCTGTGTGGATGGGTAACTGCATATAGGTGTTATTCTGGAAATACTTGTGATGAAAGTACTCAGCACTGAGTTAAGGCTGAAGCTAAAAATTTATTTTAGACTAGACTATTGGCAGCTTGTTCTGTCTGTGCTGTCTGATTGGTGCTGTTTCAGATGAGTTAGATTTGTGGATTTATGATATGTCTGATAATGTGGCTCCTCGATTTCACCTGATGGTAACAGGCTTCTCCCTATTTTGTGTGGCTGAACTTCCTCATTAGTGCTCTGAATTTAAAGTTCTTACGGCTGAAAGCTGATGGATGAACCTAGTGTTGCTTGTAGTGGTGCACGTACTTACTGAGCAGGCACTATATCTTATTTAACGTCCTCTGTCTCTGGATCCTGTATGTATATACATATGTATGCTATATATATGTATACTGGCATTGAGTTGTGAGCCTCTCAGATAAGTAATATTTCAGAAATGCAGTAATTCCCCTGAAGAGTTTTCCCCTTTCTTGTTCCTGCTGTGGGATTTCTTGAGAAAATGTTATTTGCACGTGTTCATTCTTGAAGTCCACCATCACCAGGAGAGCTTTAGTTAATGCCAGATGTGGATATTTTGAAGCTAGTGAATGGTCTCTGGGGAGAACTTAAGCTTTTTTTTCACAGGCCCTTCAAATGGCTGTCTTTTAGAAGGCTACAGATATTTTTTTTTTTTTTTCATGCTTGGAAACCCCACAATGTGTCAGTCTTTGCAAAACCTTTTAGATGTGGTTCATGAATATTCCAGTAAGTATATGTTTGTGTAATAGAGTGTCTGTGCAGTGTGTAAATACTTTAAATTATCGTGATAGAAGAATAAAGTTGCCTACCCTGCAGAACAATGTCTGTAATGTGGTGTTAGTGACCCCTGGTGGGGTGCAGAGAAATTGGGGATGTGGGCCACATACTGGGCAGGCAATCTATAAACAAACCCCCAACTTGTTTCCTAGCCATCACTTGGTGGGTAGGAATATATTGAGTACAATTGTTATACTTCCTTGCAGATGCTTGTTTCTCCTCTGCTAAGTAAGTTGTGTAGTGAAATTTATGACCCACAGCTGCAAACCAGGCCAGTTTATTGAAGAGACAGTGTATGGGAAACCAACAGCAGGAACCATCCCCTGGAGATCCCACTTGCACAGTTCCTTTGCAGTGTTTGTGGAGATATTTAGAAGAGCTTTGACACAGTGATCTGATACTGCTGCATCCATCTTGAGAGGTGTTATGGAAAGTCCTCTTTTAAAGTTACTGGAGAACTCTCAGATCAGAAGAACCCTGGAAGAGAAAATAACTTGCTGTAAAACTGAAGAAGAGAATGAGGCATTGAAAGAAAAAAATTATACAGAGGAGTCCGTAAGATTACAGAACTTTGTATAACGTAAAGATCTGCTAAGTAAACATGGGAGCTGTAATATTTCAGCTGCAAGGCTAATCACACCGTATGAAGGTAAATTGAAAGTGCCACAACTTAAAAAAAGTTATGCCAGATACATAGCAGGAAAGATGGACCTAATAAACATGTTTATTTAAAAAAAAAAAAGTTGTTTTGCTAAGCTTATGTTACAGCTAGAGTTTGAGGGGTGTGTGGAACAATCTTATGTGGTAGTTAGATCATTGAAATGCTTTGTGGAAACGACTGTAGAAAGCAAGGGGAGCTTTAAAAGTCCCTATGTTCAGTATATACAGAAAGTGGCCGTTGTACCTGTAAGAGCGTACTTGCAAGGGTGTTGATCTACCACCACAAGCTCTGCCAAAGGCAATATAGCATGATTATCAGTATTTCAATGCAACAGCTACTAAGTTATTACTGATGCTGTTGTTGGCCTCTGTCTTAAAAAAGTTGGCTGATGCCTTGGATATTAGTGGTTTATTCAAAAGGTTTAAGTATCTTCTAGAGCATTTCTAACCAGACTATGTCCTGATCATATGCTAACAGAGCTCTTAACAGCAGCTGAGGATAGTTCTCTGCAGTTGTGGAGTCTGACAACTTCCCTAGGAAGCCTGTCACAGAACTGAGCAGAGAACCGGGTACCTAATCCTTCATTTTGTATGTACATATGGCTCCTGAACAAGGGTATTATAGAATGAAATAGTATGCTCAACTGACTGTCAAACCAAATTTTCTTTTTCTCTTTCTGGAAAACCTGGCTGGAAGAATAATCTGCACCTGTTAAGCGGAACACAACCTGAGAGAATGCAGGGTCTGAGAACAATCTGGCTTCTGTTCTTGTAGGCAAGTGAGGGCCCCTCAGTAGTGCATTGCCTTTCAAACTGCTGCTGTGCTGCCAGAAAATAGATCCCCAGCTATTTACATTCTCTTCCCTTAGCATTACGGATACTGTGCATTTGTTTTATGGGTTTTGAGGATGTGCAAGTGGCTACTTACTTACACACACCCTGAAGAGAAGCAAGCAGTGTTGCAAGTTTTGCACTGCCTAATGAGGGTTTCATTAGTGGACATGTTTGGAAAAAGAAACCAAGTGGCTTGTGGCTTTCTTCTCTTTTGACATACTCATACCACAGTTTCAAATCCTGCATTAATTTTCTTCGTATAAGTACAGTTGCAGTGTTTTACACTGAAGTTTTCATGCTTTGGGTTATTTTAATTCCCATCTGTGTCTTGACAGACAGAAACTGTATTCCTTTCCACCTTTCTCTACTCCAGCTATTAAAGACTGCTATTTATACAATGCCTAGACATGACTTGTAATGACCTTTTTTTTGGAGGTATTCTTTGTTGTTTACAAGATAAGCATTCTCTGTGTTCTGTGTTGTGCTGCTAGTTCTCTCCACCTGTATTCAGAACAAACAAGGATTGTGTGGGTCAGTGTTGCTCATTAGATTTTGTCATTCAGCTAATTAATCATTAATTAGCTTGTTTTGGAGAGCAACATGGCCAGAGATCAAGTACAAGTATGAAGGTAAATTTATTGTGATGCTGATGTAAAAGAATTGCATCTGATTAATTCAGAACTTTTTTGGCCTCACTGTGTTTGTAAATTACACTTCATTGAAATTAAAAGCTGTGATTAGTAAATCAACTGTGAACAGTAAGATTGATTACAGGCTTGGGATATGTGCAGGGGTATGTATCAGAGCTGACAACTAGATATAAAAAGGACTTCATGTTATGTGGAGTGCCAATAATTTTTATAGGAATTATTTTCATGATTACTGCAGTTTTAAAGCTTAATTTCCACTTTTTTCTACACCATAGCAGTGTATGTGTCATTTATTCTAGTACATGCTGAGGGCTGGGTCTACAAAAGATTTGATATGTCAAAAAGTCTTAATCAGATAGCAGTGCCACCCAAATGTCTGCATGCTCTGCTTCTTAGCGCTGCAGTGCCTGAACTGCAGTCAAGTGTACGATTTGATTTTAAAAGCTAACTCACTCCTGAAATCATTGCAGATGCCTGTAACATCCTCAATACAAATAGCTCAGTACCTAGCTGTAACTAACTAAATCCTTTAACTCCCACCCCCCCTTTATAAGAACCCCAGAGGCCTTATCCAGCAGCTGTTCTTTCTCAGAACAGATGTTCAACTTTTTCATACCAGTCTGCTTGGAAGCACATTGAGACCTGCCTTTCAAAGGCTGTGCTGGGATTGAAACGCACCACTCCCACTTTCTATGGGTGGGGTGGCATCTCATGTCAGAGGAGTAATGCTCTCTCTAACCCTGTCTCTTCGTAGAGAGAGCCCAACAGTGGCAAACCCTCCCGCTGGCTAGGACAAGTTAAAAAGTAATGTATATCACCGCCTGTGGTGCCATCTCTAATTCCTTTGTCCTAACCTTGATGCAGTGCCAGTGGTTTGGCATGACCTGCCTTCATCTAGTCTTTGCTTCTTCAGGTGCTGCCAATCGTCTCTCCCTAGCTTGCTTAAAATACAATGAACTAATTTCCTGTAAAATGAGTAAGTTGATACTAAGTTATGGGAGATAGGTGATACCAGAATAGACTTCCTGAAAATATAAAGTTTTGGGTTTTTTTTTTTCATTTAGTAATTTTACAATACTTTAGCAACGGTAAACTCAGTGAAAAGGCCCTAATAACTATTGCTTGCACAAGTAGTGTTTGTGAGGTGGGGCAGGACACCGTCCTGGGACTGAAGCCACCAAGTTTCCAGCCTTTGCCTTCCTGTGAGTCTCCATTTCCCACACGTGTATGCACAGGCTCTGCCTGCTTCCTGAAGTACAGCAGGGGTTCAGGCTTTTGAAGCCACAGGTATCTCGGAGAAGCTGACACATCCCTTATTGCTATCAAGAGACATGATTAAGTGCAGTCAGGCACAGGTTAACAAGGCTAAGCACTGCCCTAGACATTAACTAAGATCAGTGGATTGCTGGAAAAACTCTCCTTTGCTCTTTGTTGCCTTTGCTCTTTTTCATGAGCCCTAAGGGTTGCACAATGCTATCATGGTATTATCCAAATTCATTATGAAAGTTTCACTTTATCCATCAGCTGAGACATTAATTTTAAAGGTCTTCTCCTAGATTCTATGATGCTTTGCTCCTCTGTTCTTGTCCCTCTTTCTGATGCTGTAACATTTCTTAGAAATATTCATTTCAAATAATGAAATACTCCAGAATTGTCATGATGACCACCTTATATTTGTGCCATAGTGGTCATTTCAGAATCTGATTGTTCTTTCTGTGGGACAATAAAACAGCTCACTTCACAGTCTAGAAAGATATGAAACTAATCGTACCAACTGCCTAGTTCTCAAATTTTCAGTTTTGGAATTCATTACAAGAAGATTGTTCCATTCTGGAACTCCCAAGTACAGCTAACGTATTTTACATACAAATTAGGTTTGAGAAAAATACATGGAAGCATGAAAATCTCACCTGCCAAATCGAGCTATTCACAAAGCTGAAAATAAGTACAAAGAATCTGGGTTAATCATCAAATATTTAACATCTAATTAACAATAGAACATTCCCAGTGGTTCAGGAAAAGGAATCACCTGTATTAAAAGCATCCAGGGCATGGTATTCTTTGAAATTACTGACCATTGCTGGTAAGTTTAGAGAAATCAGTATTTACTATTTACATATTTACATTACATGAGTGCTCATGCAATCGTTTGTAAGTAGATTTAACCATTTAGGTATTAAGCTTTCACAGTGGACACTGTGTTCCGAATTTTCCAAGGGAAGCATTTCAGCAGCTGCTTGGTGTTTAACATAGCTGGGAGTGCAGCTCCGTCTCGTGGCTCCTTTGAAAAGCTGCAAGAGAGTGAACATTCCCACCTTACCTCCACCCCCCCCATCTACTCAAGATGAAAAATGGAACCCTAATTATAAAAATGTATCTACCATATGAGAAGATTGACTAGCAGACTAAAGGTGAAATGAAAGTATATCCTGTTACTACTACATCATTTCAAGTGAATTCTTAAATTGTGAATCATAGAATCATAGAATGTTTTGGAAGGGACCGCTAGAGGCCATCCAGTCCAACCCCCCTGCAGGAGCAGGGACACCGCTAACTAGATCAGGTTGCTCAGAGCCACGTCCAACCTGGCCTTGAATGTTCCCAGGGATGGGGCCTCCACCACCTCTCTGGGCAACCCGTTCCAATGTTTCACCACCCTCATTGTAAAGAATTTCTTCCTTATATCCAGTCTAAACCT